AATTTCTTTATGTTCTTAATAGTATATATAATAGCGTCCAAAAGGAATTATGTTTCTAAATATAATAGTTTTTTTATAAAGAAATATTAAAAAAATATCTTTTTTTTCAATTTTGAATGAGAAAGTCCCCTTAATTGCTGTTGCCGTCTAATTGTTACAACAATGTCGTTAAATATAGACAGGGTATAACAAAAATGTTGTCCATGCCGGAAATGAGGCACTCGGGGGGTGAATTAGAACTAGTTTTTCCTTGGCAACAATGTAATCTGAGGCTTCGTTACCGAGTTTTTAACGAAAAACCCCGACCAATCAGAGCGCGAGTTTGTCAGCCGAGTTCCCGCACTAGCGGTGGCTACGCGCTGCGATTTGTAGTGAGTGCTCCATTTCCGGGTCGGACATTTTTGTTACACCCTGTATATGACAAATATATTTTTCATAGATTTTCTCTTCTATTGCGTCTAATCTACGGCGTCGGTGCATTGCAGACGATAATAAACAATTTGTTGAAAATTTTTCACAAAACGACAATAGTCCTAATTTAAAGTTTTCTAGCTTGTGGGTTTGCCCTCCCCTCCCCTCCTCCTGGAGTTCTAGGGTTAAGATATTAAATACATTTGTTATTAGTGTATAGACGCACAGTACTACGTGCAAAATTTATATACAAAATGCTAGATTCTCGCTGTTAGAGTATGGTTGCGTAATAGTTTGTAAGGTGTGTAGATTTTGATGAATCTGGAAGTGAAGTTAATTACATTGCAATAAATTTTATTGTAGAGAAAACGAGTAAGTTTCGCGGATCCTCCAGTTTCAATGGAAATGGGATATGAAACTGGAACTAGTGATTCTCCACACAGAGTTAATAAATTAACCTCACGTGGATTGCTAGGTCGTAAAGATTCACCATTAAGAATGAAGCAGTTCAAACAGAGGTTAATACACATTGAAATAGGGAAGATGGAATGCGACGAAGAAATAGATACGACAAATACATCTGAAGTTGATTTACAGTGTGTAAGAGAAAATGAATTATTAACAAAAATAGCTGACGAATTAGAATACTCAGAGAACATTGCAATAGATGCCGACAATACTCAAATACCAAGTAGTTCTGCTGAAAATGACTCGACAGATTTGATTACTGCAGAAGAAGACGCGCGTAATAAGATTAAAATGGATAATTTAAGTGTCGAATTAGAAATTACGCAGAATACAAGATTTTCGAAACATTTAGAAGAACCATGCGAAAATAAAGAAGTCAGTACTACGGACATAGCCAGAAAACCTATTCCTGAGACAAGTAATACAAAGTCTGTTAATACTAATACGGATGAAGATATATTTAACGTAATAGGTACAAAGAATGGTATTGTAAATGACATAGAAACTAACAATAATACTAACACAAATGACGAACACAATATTTCTGTCGAAAACAATTCGGTAGAATTTAGTACGACGAATGATTCCATCACACGTCATTTGTTTAAAAGCAGTATAAATTCTGAAAATTTGGAGGACACGGTAGATGCAGGAAATCTCTCTGGTCTAAATTCTACAGCAAATTCGGACGAAATATTCTGTGGGAAATTCATGCGAACTAGCACACAAGGAGTAGATAGCGCGGAAGAACAAGATACTTTACCAGTTACGGACTCAGTGTTTGGAAGTTTACCGCTAAGCCAGGACAGTCAAAATACAAGCGAGTTCGATATAGAAATTCCACATCCGGAATTATTGGATTCTACACTACCCCTATATCCTTCCTTAATTTCATGTTCAGAACCTGTACAGTGTATTATTGACAAGTTAACGTATCCTCCGTGGGTGCAATATTTATCTACATATTTTGCGAGTAGGAAACTCGAAACTGTTGGTGATCTAGCGCGATTATCTGAACGTGAAATAAACAGAATTCCCGTGAAAGGTAATTCGAAAATTGAATGTGTGAAAAGTGTTCTGAAATGTTTCGAAAAGACACATGTTACGACAGAAACGAACGATGTAACGGAATACTTGAATAATGCTGTGAATAGTAAAGCACTTATCTCTGTAAATATGGACGTATCCGCATCTGAAACGATATCTCAAGATCAATTATCAAAGAAGAGTTCTGAAACGATACCAAATGAAGATACAAGCCATACAACTGACGATGTTGATATAACTGAGAATAAAACGACTGAAACATCTAAAAATGCAGCGCAGTTCGGTTTAGATGAAACTTCAAACTTACCTGCACTAGACAGTTCACCAACATTTCCACGAACGGAAGCAACAATCGCATCATCTGCTCCTGTTTCAGTTTCAGAATCATTAAATACAATGTATGTTACAAATATTTATTTTATATTTTTTTTTTGTACATTCTGTAGTTGCGAATAATCCACTTAACCATTATGCTCTTCTGTGTCAATACAATTGTTGTAGTTGGGATTGTGGTTTAGTAGGAGGTAAACTCTTAAAACTCACAGGATGTTGATAAAAATGTGAGACATTTTGACAGGGTAGAAAATTATTTAGAAAGCCTCCCTTTTGAGTTATTCATTGTTGCAAAATGCAGGTAAACCGTATGTCTGGCGCGATGGGTTATATCAGTGAAACCGCGCAATGCTCAGCTAATTCATAGGCTCGGTCGATGACCGTTCGTACCCGTAGCACCTACAAGGGAAGGCACGGAAGTGTCCCCCTCCAATTTCGATGAAATTTCGTATGTCTGTTAAGCAGTCATAAGCGATACATATTTTTTTATCGGCTGAGACGCGACTTTAAGGGATGAAACCACCCCTCGGAGTTTCGATCCGAAATTTTTTTATTATAAACAAATTATATTTTGGTCAATTTGTTAGCACCATATTATTCTACATAAAAAACCGCAAACCTCGTTCATTAGAAGTTTTCATGTATCTCCTTTGGTTTTCGAGATAGTACTTTCGGGTCGAGACTTCGAGGGGTGGTTTCACCCCTTAAAATCACGTCTCAGCCGATAAAAGAAAATACGTATCCCTTATTTTTGACTGTTTAACAGACATACGAAGGTTCATCAAAATCGGAGGGGGACACTTCCGTGCCTTTCCTTGTTAGAGAGACTCATTTACCGCGCAGCTGAAATGATGACATACGATGCCTCACGGTACTGCAATAATTTTTTTCTAAAACTTTCTAAAACGTCCAATATGAATCGTTGGACGTCATTAAAACTGCTTGTACGTTAAAAGTCCACAAAGGTGTATCACCAAAAACCGCCATATGGGATTGTCAAGTAGAGAGGAGGAATGCCCTTTTACACAAATTTGCTTGTAACCATCATCCACAAACGTGCACACGATTGTCCGACCGCGATTGCTCGTGTCTATTGCAGGCACAGCAATTCATACAAACATGCAATGATACAAGAATGGAGACACAATCACAAATCTACGGAGACACAAAGAAGCACATCACGCTAAAACAAAAACGCGGAATCATTCAGAAGAACTTTAGATGTACAGAGGACTCTAACTATATTGCCACTAAACCTATTGCCACGCGAGGCACTTCCCCCCACACGTACTTTCGACCACTCAAATTCGCTCTCCCACCACATTGCGTACGCCGGCGCATCAGCACGAACCAGCTTTTGCGCAGGCGCTGAGGCCAAGGCTATGACGATAGAACTTAGCATGGAGGGGGCTCTGAACTCATTGCTATTTTACTTCCCTACAGCGCCGACCATGGTAATATAGTCAGAGTCCACTGTATCCACAAAGAACGCTCAGCTGTACCAGACACAAACAAACTCACAGCATATATTCGAAATGTCTACCTTTTTCATTTATGCACGTTCGCATCTTCTTTTCTGTGACTTCTGGATCTTGTGGAACAATCTTCTGTCTGTATTAATGTCTGTAGGTACATGCGACCTTCTTGATTCTCCTAGCCTCACATCGGCTCTCCTCTCCTTTTCCATAGGCAATTGGCATGCTCGTAATTTCAGATAATACTAAATCTATCTTTTCGTAAATGCTATGATCACATACAAAACGAAAAACCACAAAAACACAATGGGTTTCAACAAAACAAAAATGTAAGAATATTGGAATATCTAATACAATTAATTAAAATTATAAAATAAATTTATTTTTTATTTATTAGATTATTTTATATTTTTAATTAATTGTATTAGATTTTAGTATTATTAAATTTTTGTGTTTTGTGGTAATCATTGTGTCATTCTTTTTGTGCGCTTCCGATTTTTTTTATATGGTCATTGCATTTACGAGAAGATAGATTTAATATTTTCTGAAATTACGGGCATGCCAAGTGCCTCTGGAAGAGGGGAGGTGGACAGCCGATGAGAGGCTAGACGAATTAAGAACGTCGCATGTACAGACATTAATACAAACAGAAGATTGTTCCAATAGATCTAGAAATCACTGAAAAGAAGATGCGAACGTGTATAAATGAAAAAGGTGGACATTTCGAACATACAGTATGTCCGTTTTAAGTGTCTACACTTGATTATTTTTGTAGGTTTCAGAAATAGGAAAAAATGTTTCAGATGAAAGTTATATGGTATCGAGGGGGGCGTATTTTGAACATAATTGTTTGTCCTTGAGGTAACCTTGGAATGTGCTGTGAAGGTCACCGCAGAATTTTTTAATAGAACCCTACATTCTTCATCATATATTCCAATAGTTGACATCGAGATATATTCAAAATACTAGATACAATTGTATTTGTCGAATTATTAACACTCAAAATTTACGTGTCGCCGTTATTAACGTTACCCAATGTACACCACGAGGAGGTTGGTTGGTCGGACTTTGTACACATGGTGGTTCTAAAAAGAAGCGATTGTACGTGCGTGCGTGGTGCTTGTGTGTGTGTGTTTCAAAACAATCTAACATAAAATAGTTATCCCTCGATATGCCCTCCATTATTAAGAAAAATTTTTTTTAGTTGAAGTTCAAATTCCTTTTCTACCTTTTTTAACATCATTGGTATCATTTTTGCACACGCATTTCTTATTCTGTGAAACACACACACACGCACAATCGCTTCTTTTTAGAGCCACCATGATGTATAATATCCTACCGAACAACCTCCTCGTGATGTATAGGGTGTTTGAAAATTCAGTGTCACGGCTACCATAGTGTTATTCTACATCTCTGGATCGGTGGAGATTTGCAAAAGAAAGCGGCCGTAAAATTGACCTTAACCTCGAAATTCAAGGTCAAACTTTTTTAGTATTGCATCGTATTCTACAAAATTTGGCTTTGAATTTCGGGGTCAAGGTCAAATTTTCTAGAATACGATGTAATACTAAAAAAGTTTGACCTTCAATTTCGAGGTCAATGTCAATTTTGCAGTCGCTTTCATTTGCAAATCTCCACCGATCCAGAGGTGCAGAATAACGCTATGGTAGCCGTGACACTGAATTTTGAAACACCCTGTACGTTGTTTAACCCTAATGCCGGCGGCACGTAAACTTTGAGTGTTAATAACTCAACAAAATATTGCGACAAATACAAGTGTATCTAGTGTTTTGAACACATCTCGATGTCAGCGAATCGAATATATGATAAAAAATGTAGGGTTCTATTAAAAAATTCTGAGGTGACCTTCACAGCACATTCCAAGGTTACCTTAAGGACAAACAATTATCTTCAAAATACGTCCCGCTGGATACCATATAACTTTCACCTGAAACGCTTTTTCGTATTTCTGATACCTACAGAAATAATTAAGTGTAGATATTTAAAACGGACATACTGTATGCTGTGAGTTCGTTTGTGTCTGGTATAACTGAGCGTTCTCTGTGGATACTTGTAAAAAGTTAAAAAAAAAAAAAATTTCTGTGTGATTCCATGTTTTTGTTTTAATGTCATGTGCTTCTTTGTGTCTCGGTAGCTTTTTGTTTGTGTTTCTATGTTTGTATAATTGCATGTTTGTTTAAATCGCTGTGCGCCTGCAATACACATGAGCAATCGCAGTCGAGACAACCGTGGTGCGTATACGCGCGCTTGTACACCCACGAATAAACTCGGCTTCCACTAGGGGAAAAGGTAACGTAGGAGTAAAGGCCTCCTATCGCTTGATAAATTTATTTCAAATACTGAAATAAATGTTAAACCGAATATTAATTTGGCATAAATTTCAGTAACTCCTGGACCAAATGGTAAGAGGTCTTTCCCTTATATCACTTTTTCCCCTAGTGGTAGCCGAGTTTGCTCGTGACGGTACAAGCAGATTTATGTAAAAGGGCATTCCTCCTCTACTTGACAATCCTATATCCAGATTTTTAACGTACTTATAAGCAGGTTAATAACGCCCTATGATCGGTATTGGACGTTTCAGAAAGTTTTAGAAAAAATGATTGCAGTCCCACGAGACATCGTATGTCACCATTTCAGTTGAGAGGTAAACGGGTCTTTCCAGGTGCTAGGGAAACTGATGGTCTTCGACCGAGCTCATGAATCAGCTTAGCAGTCCGTTCATCCACTCTTCAGTTATGCTGCTTGGCGAGCGGGGATCGGCGTGCGGGATACAACGGGCCGAAGCATATTATAAGTCTACGTGGTCTATGTCGTCCTGTGGGTATATAGGGAGGTGATTTCCCTATGACAGAAAGAACAGGCCGGCAGGCATAAACCATCATGCCAGACGTATTTCATATGTATATTCAACAATTAATACCTCGAGAACGAAGCCTCGAATATAATGTCATCATTCTTGATTTTCGTCTTACAAGGGAACATATCGAACCCAGACACGCCGATTTTGATGCTCTCTATATGGGACATAGTTCGCGAAAAAATATTTGACGCGTATTTTTTTGTATCGGTCATCGTCCATATTGAACGGGTGAAAATAGCACTCAAAGTTGGGGGTTGAAAACATTTTTTGGAATATCTCGGAAACTAGAGGGTATAGATACAATTTTTGTTTGTAAATCGTGTATTTTTTAATAGAGAATGTAATCATCTAAACGTTTTATTTAATTTATTTGTTTAAATAATATATTAAAAGAATAAGTTAAGAAAAAACGTTTAGGTGATTACATTCCCCATTAAAAAACCCACCATTTACAAAAAAAAATTGTATTTATACCCTCTAGTTCCCGAGATATTCTTACAAATATGTTTTAAACCCCCAACTTTGGGGGATGTTTTCACCCCCTCAATATGGACGATGGCTGATATAAAAAAAATACGTGTCTAATATCTTTTCGCAAACTATATCTCATATAGAGGGCATCAAAATCGGCGTGTCTGGGTTCTATATGTTCCCTTGTTAGTTTCCTATGTGAATCCAGTCTGCGAAAATATTCTACGTTTTTGTTAACATTCTGTATGGGTTGTTTGATTATAAACATACTTGGGGAAACAATTATGATTACAGAATTTATATATTCAGCGCATATGTAGTTAGAATTATGTAAAATAATTATAATCTATTGTTTTCCGTATATTTTTAATTCTATTTTCTCATGTTAAGTGGATTAGTTTAAAATTACTGCATAAAACTGAAATATCGTAGTTAATGGAATTATACTTCTGTTTAGACAAACGTTGAACGAACCAGTATCATCTACACTAGATGTTGTTACATCAGAAGTTGATGTTGGGTGTTCTCATGCTTCTAAAACACGCGCAGTTTCTGTATTAAATGCATCAAAGACTGTTGCTAGTTGCACTAATCGTGACTCTATTTATTTACCAAAACCTACGGTAAGAAAATCTACAAAATCCGTCGAAGCGCAAATGGCTTTAGAAGATCTTCTGGATGAAATAGATGTTAACTTGGTATTGGAAAGCGCGGTTAGAAGATGTACACCAGAGAAAATTCTTTTGCAGTATAAGGTAAATACTTCATTTTCATCTCATCTATTACATTTCCCTTTTAATAAACGTTTAAAACTTTGTATGGAAATTAATATTATGTAAGTGATATAGCGCAGCGGTAGCCATCTTTGTTTTAACTTATATGAATTGGGAGAAGTATCTTTGGTAGCTTTGGTAGCTTTGGTAGCTTAAATGATCAGAGTAGTCAATCGATTTCTTTTGTTCTACGATAAATTATCGAGTCGATTAACTTTCTAAGAAAAAACCTCATCAGGGCGAGTACGTTTCAAACAAGAACTTTGTGTAGGGTATTATCAGGGGTGTGCGGGTACCCGAAATCACGGGATTCCCGAGACTCAGGTCGGGTCGGGACTAGTCGGGCGAGAGCGGCTGGGACCCCGACAGTATAAATTGCATCGGGATCCCGACAGATGTCAGGTCCCAAAACATCTTCGGGTCCCGAATGATATTTTCGAGACCTTTCCGTCTAACGGCAAAAAATTATACTATACAATAGATGCCATACTGAATCTTCAGGTTCATGATATGAACTATAAATGCTAAATAAGTTAACGATTCCAAATGGAATCCTGCGGTTGGACAGGGTTAATAATACAATCTTCAGTACACATTTCTTCGTACGTTATGTTTTTATTAAGTAAAATAAATAAAGTGGCAGTATTAGACATATATAATATTATTTTAAATTATAATGTAAGAAACATAATTATTGCCGGACAATGTCGAAGAATTATGTTTTTTACATTAATACTTAAAATAATATTATATATGCCTGTATGATGTATGATAGATTAAATGTCCCTAATACTGCCACTTTATTTATTTTACTTAATAAAAACATAACGTACGAAGAAATGTGTACCGAAGATTGTATTATTAACCCTGTCCAACCGCAGGATTCAGGATTATTTTTAGCATTATTACGTTAGAAATATTACATTCCTATTTGATTACCTACAGTTCTGCAAATAATCTGATTTGTACCATGTTTAAACTTATTTCAATCGAAATGATTTCGCAGAGGCATTTACTGATTTATTGGTTATTATTATAATAAGATCTGCCCCGATTCTTTTTTCAATTTTATTCTTCTTTTCAATATTTAATTGGCGATATGCTCTTGTTCTGTTGGTTGTCGCGCTTCTCTAAATAAGCGTCACAAAGCCATATCCACCTAAATTATTTATTATGTAGAATGGATTCATGTACAGGGTGTACAAAAAATTATGGTGTCGGATTCAGAGGATGAATCTACACCATTGGATCGGTGGATATTTGTAAAAAAAACTTGTCACAAAATTGTTTATAACATTGGAAATCAATGTTAAAAACTTTTCTTACGTATTTATTAAATTCTGAGTAAAAATGTGTTGACCTTCGTACGTCCTACACCTAATAGTTAACGAGATAGTTAGAAAAGAATCACTGTATTGAAGTTGAGGGACATCATTCGAGCATCTATAGCTTCCAGATTGTAATAAGTACGTATTAAACATTATTTTGTAAATATCTCGTTAACTATTAAGTTTAGGACGTATAAAGGTCAACACATTTTTACTCAGTATTTGATACTCTATCGATCTCTGGTACAAAAAATAGGTTATTCCGATAAAAAAAATCAAGGTGACCTTGAAATCTCGGAAATGCCTCCACTCACAGAAAAAGTACGTACCTTATAAGATGTGCCCATTGATACCATTTAAGTTCCACGCCTGAAAATTGTTATAAAGTGTACCGTTAAGTCATTCGAGGTGATCAAGTTACCTGAGACACCGTTTATGTATAGATCTATGCTCTGTTGAAGCTTTGCGGCAAACTGCCGCAAACCAATCGTCTACACCGGGCCTCACATGAATCTGTCGATGCTGTCAATAAGTTGATGCCGTTCAAGCGCATCGTTGTTAAGTGAACAGACATCTTTAAGTCTGTAATATTGAAATGTATTTGTATGCCGAATGTAATTGAACGACCGAATTTTAAGGGCGTATTCTTTTCTCCACTAAGATAAACAAGAATCATGAATATTATTAGAAAATTCTTTCTTTCCAAAGTATAACATTCTTTGTTGATTTAAAGACATTTTTAGAGATGCTCACTATTTGCCGCAATTGTGTTACGAATTTTGTCATAGGAAACAACGGCATTGTTTCTTATTACTTCGTTGCTGTTAATGGTAATTTCATAAGCCGGTTGTTTTAAATGGCACCGCAAATAAAAAGTTCGAAAACTTCAATTGCGGCAACGTGTAGTTCACACCAGAGGCCCTTCTTTATTAATTCATGGATATGTATGATTATTATATTTAGGAACATTTCGGAAAAATTTTCGGATCTATGTTTACGTGGTCAGTTTTGTTTTTAAAAAGAGTGAGATATGTTTCTAAAGCTCAGCCATACAGTTTAGTTACATTTGATGTAATATTAAGTTTCACATTCTTATATTACCAATAGTAATATATTCGGTCCATAATTGTAATAAAAAAATAAATGAATATCTCTCATTGTTAGTGTTGATACAACTTAAGTAGTATTTACACAAAATTTTGTAATTATTTTTCATGATTACTTAAGTTCTTAATAGTAACTTGTTAAGTTGTTACTAAACTTACAGTGTTAATTGTATACGTTATTGCATATTGTTTTATGTTGATGATTAAAAAATGTCATAGAAAACATTCACAAGTTTTTATTACATTTTTGGAAGTTGATTAATTTGACTTTTCAGATGCTTATACAGATATAAACGTAGATTTAAATATGTCTTGCTATTTATAAGTTACTGTTTAGTAAATAATTTTTATATTTTTATAGAACAAAATGAGGCATGTGCCACAACTGGAGTTGGAGAGGGAAACCATAAGAATGCTTGGTTCTGAAAACAGAAAGAACTGCAATGAGACAACGTTGAAAACCGCTTGCCGCGCCTGTGGAATTAATAAAGTATTACTACGACTTCCTGATATTTTTAGTGCTGAAAAACAGTTTTTCGTTAAAGTACTAAATGCTTACCGGCAAAAGATAAAAACCAGTGATTGTTTGAACATTCTCGATTTCACTGAAGTTAAGGATACTGTTTGCCAGAAATGTACATCTTCAGAGCTCGCTGAGATGTTGTCGGAGAAACTGAAAGAAGAAGAACAGAAAGGAATAAAGAAGCCAATGACAGAACTGTCTAGTTTGGATGCTATGCTGAAAAGAATGCCAATGGATGCAATTATTAGTCATACAGTGGCAAACGATGAACTTATTCCATCGCGTGTTGTTTTAGACATAGCCTTACAAAATAATAACCCTAGTGACATAGCACAGGCCTTGGAATCTCAATCCGCTGTTGTCACAAAAAACATTTTCGATAAACTTTGGTCTTCCCAATTTGCAGTTGAGCACATCGACCGATCCAATAAATCTAAGGAAGATTTGTTCAAAATCTTTAAAGCTGTTTCTTCCAAATTGAGTCAACAAGAACTTCTGGAAGCATTTTACGAAAATATGAATGCTAAGATAACGGCAACAGAAGAGAAACAGTAAAACTTACATGTCATGACAGATCGATCTGATGTTTATTATTAATGTTAACAATAATTACATTCAGTTGCTTTCTTCAATAATATTCTTTTTAATAATGACACATATTATACTTTCTTTCAGTCCTCGAACAATATTTCGCGCATAACTCTTCTTGAAAGTGGTATTAGATTGTAGTTTAGTATTTGATCATAGAATTGTATTAGAGTACTATATATATTAAAAGAAACAGAAAACAATTTTTTCTTACTATAATTTAACGTTTCCATGTGCAAATTATATATATTAAATATTTTCAACAACATTTTAAATGAGACTATATTAATTATATCAATTACTACACTTTCTCATGAATATTTATTACTAAAGAAAACTTCACGTTTTATTCAAACACATTAGCATATCAATAACTTCATTTTTTTCGTTAATTTTATGAAATATTTTTTAAAAATTTCCATCAAAGACACAACATACGTTAAAAGTACCAACTAAAGTACCGTATTTATTAATATCTTATAACATAATTTTATATCAAGAAGTAAAAGTGTAACTAAATTGTTGAAGTTGCACCTGTTTCTTTTGAAAAGGATTAGTCATATTAAATTATACTATATTGTTGTAGATTTATTCTTTGTGTTTTATGGTAGCAGCCAGTTTGTTTAATTAAAATTCCAGAGATTCCACTCAGTTTACAATTAGTATTCTAAGAAACCTCTAAAAAATTTATGTACTATTTTGGAAATTCATTATTTGGCATATACAGTACTTAAATTTTTCAGTGCAGTTGATTTTCATAGTTATTTTATAAGAATATAATATTGTAAATAATACGTATCTGTACTAAATGTAGCATGTTTTACGATAAATATCAATAATTATTCTGTTCTGTATCAGTTGTATTATTTATCACTTAAAGTATATATCATAAGTGATACAAAAAAGGATATAATTGCTATTTGTTAATTATTTTTATCAGTATTCGGATTAATTATGTATGATTTTTCCTTATACTTTAATGGTTTATTTGCTTTAAAAACAGAACTGGTAATTCATAGTGAGTAGATTTTTATTTTGAGATATGGCACTACTCAAAAATAGACTGTACATAAGATGTATGACAACACAATATAAAAATATACATTATGTCATATCGTTATGGTATTAAAGGGATACAATGAGCATTAAATAAGTTACATCTATAAACAACTACTGCTGGCAACTTCATAAAACTGCATTATTCATGGTCATTATTTCATCATTAATTAACAAGATCAGTATGTTATTATATAGTAGAAATATGTGCTTTTATGTCTGAAAATATGCGAATTATAACTATTTGTAATATTAGTATGACACATATAAGTGCCTTGAACAAAAGAACGACTTTCTGTTTTCTGAAGTTTTCAGAATTTCAGATACTTATGTAAAATTTATCTTGTAGTAATGTGCTAAAAATAACATTATTTAATTAATCAGAATTTATAACATGAAGTGTACAGATTGACGTTTATATAGCAAGTAAATACCTTCAGTGTGGATTACACTTTAAGTGGATATAATAACCCGTTCTCGATTGCGTCATTGCGCTTTTATAAGTAAGTACACCTACATAGTTTTCCTAATAAATATTGCTTTCATTTTTTCCAACTGATAGTTGCTTGTTGATAATCAGTTTTCTTTTCAATACTGAATATGTTTAAAACAAACAGTTTGTTTAGTATTCAGGTATTCATGCTCTCTTGAAATTGCGAATAAAATTTATTTCAGTAGTTTTTTTTGGGTTGTTTTAAAATTATGTTTGTGATGAAATATTCTTATTTATGGTGTAAGAAATTTGAATAACTCATTGTAGTTACGTTTGGACACATGATAGTAATCGAATTATACATTCGAATAATGTTAATGACAGTGCTTCAATCAGTATCGTGCAAGTTGTTTTTTTTTTAATCTTAGAAAAATGATTGAAGTTTGCAAATTATTGTAAAAACATCCAGTGTATATCATATAACAGCAAATAAATATTTTATACGAATTGATGGAATATAATAAGTTTTATAATCATGATGTATACCGGTTGATAACTTTAGAAGATAAATATATTAACTATACAGGGTGTAACAAATATGTTGGAGGACCCGGAAATGGGAGACTCGTGAGGTGATTTGAATCAAGTTTTTCCTTAGCAAAAATGTTATCCGAGGCTTTGTTAACGAGATATTAACGAAAAACTTCGAACAATTAACCTCTGAACAGCGCTATGCGCTGCGATTGGTAGCCAACGTTACCGCGGGAACTCGGTCGGCAGACTTGTGCTCTGATTGATCGGGGTTGTTCGTTAATATCTCGTTAACAAACCCTTGGATAATATTTTTGCTAAGGAAAAAACTTGTTTCATATCACCTCACGAGTCTGCCATTTCCGGGTCCTCCAACATATTTGTTACACCCTGTATACACTAATGTTTAATGATAATTAATTAATTTATTTTTTACGTATGTAAACGTCATTTAATACAAATTCTATAAGCTGATGTTTATTTAGATATTATTAATTCGCTTAAAACAAATAAACAAAACAATAGCCATTGCTTTTTTCATAAAGTAAATAAATTTTTATAAAATAAAATAATAACTTGATCTGTTTTACATTTATGCAAGTGAAAGTGTGTTTCTATTCTCTATCACCGCAGCAACTTTTTCTAATGCAAACCCTGTGGTAAAACATTTGAAGGTACATATCAACAATTTAATGCATCAATTAAAATTCAACTCATTCGCACAACAAGGTGATGCATGTAGTAGGCCGTCCAACGGGCAGTAAACACGAAGGATCATCTTCCAGTTTCCGTTCCTCCAGTTGCTGACATTTACACCTTGAAGTCGACGTTGAACACCACTTACAACGCAGCCGCCACAATAGAGGCGGCGTGGGAGCAAAGCTTTGCTGTGACCGCATCACCATTTTTCCGCGGGCTTTGTCGGACCTACAAAAGTGCCGCCATGTTGATTTATTGGCAGCAATTGTCAATGAACCGAATTGTGAAGGAACGACTGTCGTGTCCTGCTTTCCGCTGAACGGTCTCGATAGGTTGGCCAGGAAGAGATTTCTTTACCCCAGCTACTTCACTCTTCTCGCCTGCGTGTGGTCCACTGTCATTGTTCGGAACAGGTTGTCGATGGGCAAGATCACTTCTATTTGTCAAATATCGTGTGAATTGGAAAGCAGAAAGAAGTACATTACGGATAATACTACTAATCGCCCTGGAATAAATAAAAATTATTCAATTATTTGTTCCTTGTTATTCAGTCTGAAGTACCCATTTTTATGTATAATTACTAATCTAATATGTGTTATTTTGAATGGTTTCTTAACCGTTAACCCTTTCACTACGAAAGGCGTATATATACGCCCTCACATGTCTATCAATATGTACGAAAGGCGAATATATACGCCCTCTAAATTTTTCTTACTATGACACATTTATTGTTTTATTAAACTGATCTAACATAGAATTTAGATTTTTTTTATTCGTATATTTTTTGCCAGCGACCGACATGTGCATATCGCACTGCAGTCAAAGGGTTAATGTTAGTATTCCATTTGATGTTTATCTTAGCTGCGAATGAAGATGATAATAAGGATGTTATCAGGAGTAATTTTAAATAAATATTTCCCTTCCTTCAACGTATGCAGAACATTGTAAATAAAGAATTTTTTTTTTAAACAGTAGCTTTTCTATTGTATTAGTACGGCACCATTGGAAAATTAAAAAGAAATTAGGGTATACAGTAAAGGCTCCATGAAAGTTTTAGAAACCATGCTATACCTGATAAAAACATTTTCGATCGGACTGCCAATAACAGATTAATCTCTACTGATCACAATTCGTGGTTCACCCTGTATAGTAATTTATCGTAAGCACGTTTCGTAGAATGTTCTGTTTATCGCGAACACATACATATACATGGATGTGCCTTGTAATGATTTGTATAAACGCGGGTTTTTTATTCGATACATATGTAGTTTGTTTATACCAGCAGTCTTTTGTATTTGTTACATTTTTATTAAAGTCTCATTGTGCCCAACAATCACGAATATTCACTGACTCCCGTTTATATCCTAAATCTTTCGATTGAGGATATTTATACGAATTGAAACCTTTTGAAAGAGTCGCGTGCGCTAACCACGGTCTAACAACCGCGAATCGTTTCAACACCTCACAAATCTATTTTTTGCCCGAAGCCCGAACCTCATCAACAAAAACGGCAGAGAGGAGGAGGAGGGGGGGGCAATAAATTATGCGTTTGACAGGTTCCATGGTTTCCCCCACCCCCAGTGGTGGGGGTGAAATAGACACTCTCACGAGGAACTTCCTATCCAACTCTTATGGACTCTTCACTGTACATATATGTAAGTTTCAATACCTCCTTAATTTTTCAAACATCAGTGTGAAATTTTACGAGTATTTTCTTAAGATATTAAATCTCCGTAGACGAACATACTTTTTTCGCACTTCGTAAGCAAACTGGGTTATTTATTTCCAAGCCTAGTTTTTGTAGTGTTTTCGGATCTTAAACATTTGAAAAAATTCTGGAATATTTATTAAAGCCTCTCCATGAAATACATAGATATCGGATTAATAAACGAACTTAAACCGAAGAAACAGAAAAAGATTACCCATTCTTTTTGTAAAATATAATATTTATATCTATGTGTAAATATATAATAAACATTACAGATATATGTTAATTTTTTTCAGTAATTACCCAGAAATGGTACGTGATACGTGGTCTCGCATTAACCGGCCAATGGTTTACCCGACCAGAGGTCCGGTCCCACAAGGGGCCGGTTAAGCGGGAATCTACTGCACGTATGTGAAAGGGTCACGGTCAACGAAGCTGCCCCCCCCCCCCCTAAACGTAAGTTTTACCTCATTATTTTATTCAAATACCATTCACATTAAAGTGTTCCCGGTTTAAATGCCCATGTTAATCTATTTGATGAAGCATCATTCGTCGTGGACGAAATAATTA